AGATGCTCTGGACCTCTAATTTGCTACTTCCTGAGAGAGGAACAAAAGGTAGCGTGCCACAAAATCTAGGCCTAGTAGGCCTACCCACCCTGCCCAATCTGTCACTCTCTGTCACAGGTACCTTTTCGCCAAGAAGTACAAAATGCACCCATGGCCCACAATTACTGAAGGCAACCGGAGGTAACCAAGGCCCCAACATACTGAAGGTAACTCTAACCCCTCTGAGTACTAAAGGTAACCAAAGCCCTCAGTTACTGAAGGTAATCCCCCAAAGTACCGGAGGTAACCAAAGCATCGAAGCACTGAAGGTAACTCTAAATCCCAAAGCATCGGAGGTAACCAAAGTCTGAAGGTAATACAAGTACGACCAGCACGGCTCCGCACGTGAGAGCAAAGGGTATATGTGGGGTTGAAGTTAGGTGTGCCCAGAGCTAAAATACACGAATGCGGTGCTTGGGGGAAGGGATAGTGTAGCCCAATGGTCACATGTAGACAACAGGAAAGGAAGACATGTCCTTTGGGACATCTGCGTGAAAATTGGAACGATACAGCTAATGAAGATTAGCATGGGCCTTGAGCAAGGATGACACACATAAATCGAGAAATGCTGCAAATGCCAAATTGTTAATAAGAAGAAGGGTTACTTTGACGGTGTGAAATGAACAAATGTGTATCTGCTAAGGTACACGAAGTACATCTGAGAACGATATCGGCACCTAGAGAGAAGTCCCGCTTACAAAAGACGTTGGGATTGAATAGCCAGCTGAATCATGGATGAATATACAGTTGTGAGTTGGAGCTGAGCGTCACTTCTTCCAAAAGAAAGTCCTGATTTATAATGTAGGAACGTTTATTTATTTCAATTTTTTTAAGAACGGTGAAGGTGATGCATATTGCGGTGCGCCTTATTAGGTGGTGGCCGGGGTATAGTGTAGAGGTGTTGGCCGGAAAAGGTGCCTGGTGCAAACACCGAGCAGCATAGCACTATCTGCAGAAGACATAGAGGCTCTGCAGCCGCAAAATGAACAAAACTCCCTATGAACAGCATTCAAACAGCGCACACGAACCAGAACACACAGAAATACTTGGAGGGGATGATAATGATTTTGATCAAGATGCATGTTGATTACTAACTTCATTATGACATCAATAGTCCCCACGGTGTTTCTGGTCGGTCTTGTTTTGGCATGTTCTTGCATATCCATATCCCATGGCTTCTTAAGTGATTGACACAGGGTGTAGCCTTTGTGGGGCATCTCTATCTGGGAGCTTTTTCAATCTCTACTATATCGTGGAGTCCGGTACAAGGGGTGTGTTTCTGCATCGATCGTAAGTACTGCCACTAGCCAGACTCCCAAAGACTCTCCCCACCCACCCCCCTCCTCTCTCTCTCTCTCTCTCTCTCTCTCTCTCTCTCTCTCTCTCTCTCTCTCTCTCTCTCTCTCTCTCTCTGTCTCTGTTCCTTTTGCCACAGCCGCTCGTTTGTTGTCCTCTTCTCCCTCTCTGCCTACGGTTTACCGGGCAGCTCTGTTTGACTCTATACATATATCGTCACAAACAGAACTGCCACACGGGGTTGGGGGCAGCCGCCGCTCAACCTACATCCACCTGGGCTGCCTTGTACGCAAGAGGTTCTGAACAGGGGGAGTTGTAAGGAAGAAATTAAAAGAAAAAACGAATTCATTTTTTCCTTTTTTTTGCTTTTGTGCTCTCATATTTATGTGACGATATATATACATATGAGTCGGTGAAACTCCGACGAAACAGTTTGCCACAGCCCCTCGTTTGTTGTCCTCTTCTCTCTCTCTGCCTACGGTTTACCGGGCAGTTCTGTTTGTGACGATATATATATATCG